TTCTTCAAAATCACCCACCACTCTAAGAAAATTAAATGTCATCTTTCCCCTTGAAGTTTTCTTTGACTGAATTGTTCCTTCTTCTGTGTTCCCACAGCTCTGTATGCATAACTCTCAAAATACCTATTATATCACACTTTCATTATGCTTGTACCCCAACTTGCAGGGACAACTCCATGCGCCTACAACCTGTGCAGTCACACAGGGACCTACACTCAGGAGAGTCCTATACTCAGACGGACCCTACATTTGGCTCAATAGTCTGCTATCAATATCCTGAAATTCTTAATAATTGTTGAACAAGGTACGCCTCATTTGCACTTCACACTGGGCCGCTCAAATTATGTACTCGGCCCTGCCACTAGATTGTGAGCTCCTTGAAAACAGAAGCTATTTGCTATTCTTTGAAACTCCTCCTTGGTTAGCACAGAGGACTCCTGGAAAAAGTACAGGTTTCTTAAATATTTGTTGAGTTTATATATGAATAGATGAAAAGATAAAGCATCTCATAGAAAAATAGTACCGTATGGCTAATTAACTCAGAAGAATAAGCTTTTGTTATTCTTGGGAGAGAGGGAAACTAATTGATAAAATCCTGAGACTACTGACCATTCCAAATAAATAACATAACATTTTCTAGGTTTCTTTTTAAGTTACCCAAACTACTCCTACTTTTGAGCCCTGCTGCCTCCCCGTTCTCAGAATGCAAAATTACGGTTAATGGAGCTTGCAATAATGCTATCATCTCCTGAGTTTTTGTGCCAAGCACTGTGTTAAATTCTGGGTGTCTTGGGAAGGGAAAGGGAGAAGCTGAGAAAACGTGAATCAAGCAGGATCCCTGTCTTCAAGACGCAATTAAATCTCACTCCTCTAAAATTTATATCAAAGATGAGTTGACTTCATGGGAGTGCTGCAGCAATGAATGGAGAATAAAGACATTAGACTTGGCCAGTGGCCCAGCTTCCTGAACATTTCAAATGACAAAATGTCTCAGCCTTGAACACAATTCCCTCACTATGAGATCTGTGGGTTCACTAGTTAACATTGGCAACCGACTCAGAGGTGCTCATGGAGCATAATAAACAAGTGGCTACTGAGGTGGGGGAGGTGCTTTTGCTCCCGGGTGTTAGAGAAGAAAAGAGGAACATCAGCTATCAAAGTGAGCCAAATAATTGGTGAAGAAAAATGTTCCTAGCTCCCGCTAAAGGCATGACGGGACTTCCAATGTGGCAACGACCACACACCAACCCTGTTGCCACATTATGTGCTCATTGCTAGGTTCTCAGAAACGGCATGGAAGCCCAAAAAGAGTTTATTGTGCTTTTTCACTTACTAGTTTTTAGCTACCCCGTACTGGCTGGTATAATATCAGTTACAAAATTAATAGAATCTAGTTGAAAACATATAAATGTCAATAAATTGGAAGGAAGGAGGGAAGGAAGGAAGGAAGGAAGAAAGGAAAGAAGGAAGGAAGGAAGAAAGGAAAAAAGGAAGGAAGGAAGAAAGGAAAAAAGGAAGGAAGGAAGGAAAGAAGGAAGGAAGGAAGGAAAAAAGGAAGGAAGGAAAAAAGGAAGGAAGGAAGGAAGGAAAAGAAAAGTAGGTGTTTTCCCAAAGTATGCACAAGGCAAGTAGAAGGTAACCCAGCTCCTCTCCATTTATAAGTGGTCTCTATGGCTTATGAATAAAAGTACATATTCCTTTTGGTATAACTAAATGACAAGAGATGACCTCATTTTTGTGGGGTAGTATTTATTCAATTGGTTAACTGCTAAGGCCCTGGCTCCTTCTACCTTTATTTAGATAATAGCAGTTCACACTTTGCCAGAACTGTATACTTATCAAAACATGTTCACATGGATTATCTCCACTGATCTTCACAAGAGCTCTGTGAGTCGGGTAGGGTAAGAAAGACCAGTCCTATTTTGCAGGTATACAAACTGAGTCTAGAGCAGGCTAGCCCAAGGCTACCGAGAGCCAGGCCTCTGCTCCAGTTCCAGTGCTCTCTGGGACCTTCCTCCTGGAAGCCTTTCCAAGGCAGTCATTTAGGTGAACCTTCCTCGAAGATCACTTTCTCACTTTTCCTTCCTTCTCCCTCCAAAAATTTCTCTTCCTTTGGCTCCTGTCTCATTTTGCACTTAAGGATCTTACTTTCAGGTCACCTTAGGTTGCTATTTAGTTCCTGTTTGTTTTGGGTGTTTGTTTCTGTTTGTGTTCTGGAGACAGAGTCTCACTTTGTCTCCCAGAGTACAGTGGTGTAATCTCAGCTCACTGCAACCTCTGCCTCCTGGGTTCAAGCAATTCTCCTGCTTCAGCCTCCCAAGTAGTTGGGAGTATAGGCCCCCACCACCATGTCCAGCTAATTTTTGTATTTTTAGTAGAGACAGGGTTTCACCATGTTGGCCAGATGGTCTCGATCTCCTGACCTCTTGATCCACCCACCTTGGCCTCCCAAAGTGCTGGGATTACAGGCGTGAGCCACAGAGCACAGCCAGTTTTTTTTATACTCTAAAATGGAAGATAATCCCAGGCATCTTTAGGCCTCAGAATATTCTTCTTTATTTGACAGGAGGTCTAAACCCTATAATGTTTTCTCTTGAAACTTGAAGTAATTTCTACCACCAGAGAAATTACTTTTGCAAAGATTCAAGCAAAGTATATTATAAAGCACTTAACTATAAACACTTTGGTGTGACACATTTCTAGACACGGGGTCAGAGGTGACAGACTTATTTCAGATACTCGAATTATCTAGAAGAAAAAAGAAACTCAAAGTATCTATAACAGAATAGATCCTGGGGAATCTAAGAAGATTGGATGTTGATGTTCTCCTTAGCTTTGCTTTATGAAGAAAGGGAATGTGTTCTGTTAAGAGTACAATGTTATCTGGAAGAACTGAAGAAGGTATCAGTGGGCTATGTTCAGGTCCAGAGACAAAAGAGCTATCAACTTCAACTAACCTGTGTGGTGCCTCAGCTCCTAGACTTACTGGTTGACACAACCTTAGGGAAATTATCTATGCAACAATTTCCTCATCTTTCAAGTAAGAATCACAGCATCTACCTTATGGGGTTGTGATGACAACTAAATTAGCTAGTGGCCAAGAAAATGCTCTGTATACTAAAAATCACTATAAAATATGTAGAATAGATAGAGAGAGATAATTGTTATAGTTTACTGCTCTGGCCAAGGGATGCAGGAATGAGTTAAAAAGGAACAGAGTGTCACGAACAGCAACAGGCAGGTGGCCAGGTTTCTCTAGGCAGAAGAGGATGGAGAGCTCAGGAGTGCATACTAATTGCTGCACCTCTGCTGAGACTACTGGCCAAATGACTGCCCAGCAGAAAACACAGTGTCCCTTTCCATATCAAAGGCCCTCTCCTAACGGGGCTTTCAGCTGCATACAAAATTAGGTGGACATTCTGATGCATCTGATGGTGCTGTTATGAAGATGAACTGTTAACTAAATTGCTTTGGTGGAATATGTATGCTAGGGAAGAGGTTAACAGTTTTCCTAGAACCATGAATGTCTTCTGGAAAATAAATGATTCTTATTGACATTTGAAATACAAATTGTCCAAGAGCAAAAATAGGTGTACTGGAAAAGAGTAAGTGTATTTCTAAATGAAAGAGTAAGAGAGAAAAGGGAAAGAGAGAGAGAGAGAGAACTTTCAGAGCAAGGAGCCCCTGCCTTCTGATGAAAAGTATTCAAGATGAAGATAAACTTCTCAACTTAATATCGAGAGTAATGAAACATTCATTTCCTAAAGAAAACTCCTGAAAGAAACAAGGATGATATCCAAAGTGAGGTAGCAAGTCATTTCTGGTGACATTTGTGGGGGAGCTGAAGGCAATTCATATTTGGCAGTCAAATCTGAATGAAGTAAAGGATATGGTTAAGAAAGGGACCTGAATTAATGTGCCTTTTACTTCTTCATAATTTTTTCAGCTTTGATAGCAGAAGAGATCTACACTTGAAAGTCCAAAAAATGTTGTTGCTATAGGAACAGGTAAACAGATTAGACTTGAAAGACCAGTTTAGGAACAAAGAATTTAATAGTCGGGCTAAGCAATTAACCGAGAAAACATTTAAGTAAGTATCTTTCAGGTTTGTTATTTACATATTCATTCCAGAAAGACAAAATGCTATTATTGAATGAGAGCATCACATTTTAACATTTTAATTACATCATTACTGGCATAAAAGACTGTGCTTACACAATTAGCAGAAAGACCTTATTAAACAGAAGTACACATTTCTAACTCTCTCTTGATTACATTGCAACTGAGAAATACAGTTTTAAATTCATCATGAGCATGAAAGTAATCTTTGGTTTTCCTACAGTTCTCTGATTTTCCTACAGATCTCAAGATAGAAACACAACTAAAATAAAGGAGAAAATGAACTACTGAAAGTTTTCTGTAACTAATCTCTATAATGAGGAAGCCACAAAAGTAAAATTCAAGAAGGAAACAGAAATGTGTGTAAGTTGATAATTGTTAATTTTGTATGTCTTCCCTGTCCAACAGACTCGGTAAACAAGATATGTGAGAAGAAAAGAAGGTCAAAGACCCAGCTGCACTCCTGCTTCGCTGCTGAACTTCTGCTTCTAGCTATCAGGGAATACACCACTCCTCACATTAGGGATTTCCTAAAATTGTTAGGTATTTCAAACAGAACTTGCTATACGGATGAGGCTCAAACCCGAATCATAAAGTGGCATGGTGCTTCTCTCCCTATCCGTTTTATTTAAAAAGAAAACATTCTTGATAAGATGAATACAGTATTTTCATTCTAGCAAACTTCTGCTGTCAGAGGTTACATTTACAGGATAGAGAGATTTCTCAAACATGATCTTTTCTCGTGTAATACCAGAGTGAAATTGCAGAGAAGTCTCTGTGTGTGGTGCGTGTGTGTGCATGTGCGCACACGCGTGTGTGCGTGTGTGTCTTGGAGGCTGAGGAGTGAGAATGGGAAGAAGGGAATGCGGCTAGAATCTTACCATCTCATTCTCTTCTCCTTCATTGAGCAAAGCGTGCTGGCCCTTCTCAAACTGGTCCCCCATGAAAAGTTATTCCACACCTCCTCCCTGACCTTGCCGGGCAGATGCTTCCAGGACGAACTCCAACTCGCCAAGCCACCGCAGCTCCTCAGCTGACTAAAAGAGTTAATGATCCTCCAGGTTAAAACTCCTCCTTGAGCACACACCTTCCCTCAACAAATGACAATACTTGGCACACTGAACTACTCCCACAAGTCACCCTCTGCTAGGAGGAATTTCTGGCTGCTGTCTGCTTATTGCATTCTCTCAGAGCAGCTGTCTCAAAGGAGGCTGCCCCCATGCCGATCTTTTTGTGCCCAACTCACAGGGAAAGAACTCATTGCCTGCCCAGTGCCTGCCAGCATCAGACCTCTGACTGCAAATCCAACAAGACAATACAGAGTTGGCAGGACCCTTCTCAGGAGTGAGAAGCGGGTGCAAGAACTCCCAGGTCACTGCTTTATTCAGATGGCCTAAGGAATTGGAGTGAGCGGAAGTGCACAGAGTCTCAGATTTTCTTTGATTAATGAAAGCTTCGATCCATAGGTTTTCAATACTACTCTCATTCATTTTGCTTACAAAAAGTGCAAATTATCACTAATCTGTAATCACATTTCCTTGTATATGCAAAAAACATTCTGTTTAATGGGTATGTGAAATTAAGTTTACTTTTTTGAAACACATGTAGAAAAAGAACAAAGGTATAATCAAACTAGTCTGTGTCACTGTTTTCATAAAATATTGATGGTTCAATACTTAAGGAAGTCTAGAAATAAAATATTCAAGTGACTATATGGCAAGACTCTTTTTTAATTTATTTACACATTTATTCAATAAGCATTGCTTGAGCACAGGGACTACATAAAAAAGTTAAGTCATATTTGCCACTCTTGTGTTGACGTACGGATTCAAACACCCCAACAAATATGATGGGAAGTGGGTTATTATTATAAGAGCTGGAACAGAATGGTAAGATAAGTGCTAGAAGTCCCAATGTGGTGTAGAGAAACACACCCGTACGCTAGCTCTGGCAAAATACCTGTATTCCAGCTGCTTTTCTGCACTGGCCTTGCTGTGTGATCATTTAACCATAGGAACTGGCTCTTCTCATCCGGTACCAGCCAACAGGACTGTTGAGAGGATGGAACGAGATCAGTGTGAAAGTACATTGTACAGCACTGATCAAGTGCTGTTAGGATTATTCAACTAAATGTGCAATTGAACAGTAGGTGTTAGGACAGAGGGGTTAAGGGCATATGCACTAAATTTGGAAGGCCTGAGTTCAAATTTGGACTTTACTAGGTGGTAGTTATGCTACCTTGGGATATAACAAGTTATATAAATTGCATTAGCCTCTACTTGCTCACATGTAACATAAAGACGATGATAACAGAACCTACGTCCTAAAACCGTTTTTTAAGAAATAGTGCCTGGGAAATAATAGGTGTTCAATAAAAGATAGTTATTTTTACCTTCACCATGTCCACTGTCCCTTGCTCAAGCCACATTAGCAATGGTATCTCCAACCTGACCCAAATAACCCTAATGTGACCAAGATCAATGTGTGTGTGTGTGTGTGTGTGTGTGTGTGTGTGTGTGTGTGTGTTGGATGTGTGAAACCTTGAGAAAATAGTAAAATATAAACATAAAAACTAAGCTAAGTAAATTCATTGTAATATTAATTACAAAATACTTATGTAGTTCTCCTAAAAAATTGCTAACACAATTTAACTGAATAAATGAAAATAAAATTAACATTTTATCACAGGGTCAAATTATAAGGAGTGCAGGGTTTCTTGGGGGGGTAAGAAAAATGTTCTAGAATTACTGATGACTTCACAAATTTGTGAATATACTAAACAACACTGAACTGTATGCTTTAAAAGCGTCAATTTTATGAAATGTGAATTGTATCTCAATGAAAAAATGTAATAAATTTTAAAAGCATATCTCAATTAAAAAAAATAAACCTCAAGAAAACTAACTAAACATTTATCAGCTTTACTATGCAGTAATTATATATTTAGTACAGGAAAAAAATATAAAACAAGGATATTCCAAATTTCATCTCAACTGATGGAGGTTGAGGAGTATTAGTATGTGACATGGCAAATGCATATCAGTGCCATTGGGCAGGTGAGAGAGAAGCAATTCATTCTCCTGTTTATTACCGGCAATATTTGCACTGTTTCCTTTTGGCTGGGTTCCTGAATACACTTGGCAACTCATGCACCATTGTGGGATTGAGATGTGTGTGTAACTGATTAAGAACTAGAGGAAAAACTGTGTACGAACTTACCACACTCAAATGAATCAGATCATGCTGTTACAATATTTAAGCCAAACTTGAACAGGCAAATATGTAAGTCCCTAAGAACATTAAAAGCTTTTATAAAAATCAAGTGTTTGTGGAAAATTATTTTCCACAACATGGTTCAGTAGAACTGAGGACTGCAATAGTGAGAGAGTTTCTTCAAGTTCCTTGGGAGTTCTATTGGTAAAACATCTAGATTTTATCTACGGCAACACTACGTATGGGCAGTACTCACCCTCATTTAGTGTTTTTGGTCTACAAAGATAAGCATATCCAGAAACAGGGCTAGATTGGGAAAGCAAAGAGAACATTTACCAAACACTCCCAGATATGAGGCTTTATTCTAAACAGTGTACACTCTCTTTTGCACACAATCCTGACAAACACCTCAGTGGTTGATACTATTCTGGCCATTCTTATTTGACAGACAAGAAAACACAGGTGCAGATATTAAATAATTTGCCTACATTCAAACCATTAGTAAGTGACAGAATGAGTTTTTGAACCTAAGCAAAGCAGCTCTCCCAATCCGTGATCCTAGCTACTAGGCTAATACCACTTCTACACATTTATTTGGCACAGCCAAAGTGCTCTGCAAGGAGTTCTGCATTTACATGACCAGAAAAGCCTCTTTGTGGAGGAAGCCTTTTGAGAAAGGCATTGCTTGAAAAGAGACAAAAAAGACTTCAACAGGTGGAGATGCTGAGGCTCAAACAAAGAGTATGCCCACAGGAAAGAGCATTTGAAGCAAGGGGGTCATCAGAGGGAGAAACACATGGCCATGTTCACAGCAAGTCTGTCAGCCCCACTGCAGCATGCGGTGTGTAAAGGAAAAAGGGGGGAGTGACATGTGGCAGGAAAATACAGACCAACACCATGCATGGAGGTCCCGAATGCTAGCTTTGAGCTTAATGCAAAGAGTGACAATAATATGGAAGGCAAACTGAACTCCATAAATATGCCTGTTGCTCCTGATCAGCCTGTGCTCTCATATTATGGAAATCAAGTGCTAAAGCAGCTTGGTCCTTCCTATGCAATGCTGTATTTATGTAGACAGTTTTCTTGAACCTTCTAAGTTACGGCTTCTATTTCTCTTTAGAAATTGTTTGATTTTAATTCAGCCTCTCTTTCCTTAATTGTGCCTCTTCAGTATTTCTATTCTGTACTGTATGTGCCTCACAGGTTGTAACGTTGCACAGTGAGAATGGCAGATGAGGATTTGGTATGGTCTGAAGTCTAATCTTGACATTTTGCTGAAGGATTCCATTCATTCATTCATTCATTTAACATGAGTTTGACTAACTTCACTATGCCAGATCTGTAATAGATGAAGAATAAAGATTTAATAAATTATGCTCCAGAAAAGTTAAGTCCATTAAGAAACACAATCAATACCAAAATATAAATTCCAGCCAGGTGTGGTGGATCATGCCTGTAATCCCAGCACTTTGGGAGTCCAAGGAGGGTGGATCACAAGGTCAGGAGATTGAGACCATCCTGGCCAAAATGGGGAAACCACGTCTCTACTAAAATACAAAAAATTAGCCATGCATGGTGGCATGTGCCTGTAGTCCCATCTACTCGGGAGGCTGAGGCAGGGGAATTGCTTGAACCCAGGAGGCAGAGGTTGCAGTGAACTGAGATTGCAACATTGCACTCTAGCCTGGCGACAGAGCAAGACTTCATCTCAAAAAAAAAAAAAAAAAAAAAAAAAAAAAAAAACTATATAATATGCTAATTACACAAGAATAACAGGAAGTTCAAGTAGGGAGTTAGACCAGGAAGCTCTCATAAAGATCAGAGTTTTATGCTGGCCTACATAAATGCAGATGGGTAAGGAAAGCACTATTAACAAAGGAGACGGAGAGCAAAGGCACGGACAAGGGCTCGCACACAGCCCATTCTGGGGACTACAAATTATACACATATATTGATACCCTAGAATTGAGAGGAATGTCCAAGAGGAAAAGTTCCTTCGATTATTCTCTGATTCTTTCCCTGCACTCATTTCTTCTCAAATACTCTCTCCCAAATTAGAATGAACATGGAAAACAGAAAAAAAAATAAATAAATACTTCGCTACCTCTGCTGATCTGGCATCTCAGATTGCTTTTGATTATTTCAGGAGCATGTCTGTTGCTCTGAGCAGTTCTCAGCCTCTGTGAGTGTCTATGATACATGTTCAATGGAAATAATGGCAGGACTGGTTTCTCTGCCAGGATCGTGGGGATGCTGATGCTTCACTTGTCTGCCCCATTTAGATTGTGTGATGATAAATGGTAATAATATTTCATTATATGTTAATTTCCATCTTTCATCTGAGAACTCACAGCATATTACAAACATTATTCTTCGCAACATCTCTGTGAAGTAGGGAGGTGAGTAATAACATCACCCCCATTTGAAAGCTGTAGAAACTGAGTCATAAAGAGGTCACAAAGAGCTGTTCAAGGTCATGTGTCTTTAGCACGGAGTAGAACCTGAAACAAGTGCAATATTTCTGCCTTGTCATCATTGCCAATAAGCTGGCTCAAGCTTCCTCCTCAGTCCTCATTACACAAATCTGGTATCTGTAAAGCACCTGAGACCTTAAATTATAGAACTTTATCTAAACTCAAGGCTTTACTGTTATTATTAATTATCCTAATCTGCCCCAAAATATAGTCTGGTAGCAAGCAAAGAAGTGATATCCCAAAGAGGAATTACCTGCCTCAAGGTGGTGGTGTAAAGTCTAATTGAATTAATTAATGTTTGTAAAACATTTAGCAACCCTTAGATTAAAGGGTCTAATACAAAGATCCAAGGACTCCCTCTTAATTACAGAAGAAAAGAGCAGGCTGATGCTATCTCTGCTTCTCAGAGATCTTGCTCTCAAACATCCCCGTTCAACACCAGGTCTGGTCTCCTACCAGTGGCTTGGGGGTGGTCTGTTGCTTCACTTTCAGAAGAGCCTTCTTTGCTCTCTGTTATTTCCAAAAATAAGAAATTGAAAGCTCCTCTCTGGAGGTAAGGCAGCTCCCCTTCTGTGAAGCTTACCTCAGTTGACAGCTGTTATAACAACTCCAGGTCATTAAAGACAACCTATAAAACAAAAGCCAAAAGAGTCGGTCCCCAGGCAGAAACTTCCTATCAGTGTACTTAATTTTGAGAACTTTTAACCTAAAAATTTGAGTATACAAAACAATACAAGTTAGGATATGATTATTAACAATCAGAGACTATTAGAACTAGACAGGGCCTTAGAATTACTAATTTCTCAGGTGAGAAAAACGTTACTGGACGACTATGTAATAGTTTGTTCAAGATCATAATCTGTGAAAGCTAAAACTCTCAAGTCTTACATATGATATACTTCACACAACATCATATTGCTACTCACTTTTTTTTTTTTTTTTTTGAGACAGGGTCTTGCTCTGTCACGCAGCTGGAGTGCAGTGGTGCAATCATGGCTCACTGCAGCCTCAACCTCACAGGCCCAAGGGATCCTGCCACCTCAGCCTCTCAAGTAGTAGGTACTACAGGCAAGAGCCACCACGCCCAGCTAATTTTTGTTTTTGTTTCCTGTAAAGACAAAAAAACATGTTGCTCAGGCTGGTCTTGAACCCTGAGCACAAGCCATCCACCCACATCCGCCTCCCAAAGTGCTGGTTTGCAGGTGTGAGCCACCATGCCCGGCTGCTACTCACTTTTCATAAAGAGATCAGAATAGGATACTCTAAGCCAGTCTCTGTAGAATATTTAAGAGGACCTCATTTGCAAAATATTGATTTAAATAGAACTTTTCCAGAACGCACCAACCGTATAAGGCCATGGACATGTCACTGAATTGTAGAGCATATCGTATTACTTAGGCAAGATCCAGAGGGCTTAGGACATAGCATGGGGCCCACCCACTGGGGTGAAAATCTGTGTTTGGGGAGCTGACAATATTGCAGGTGCTTGCAAAGGAAATGCAATCTATCAGGCAATTTCAGCTCACAGCAATTTTTGCTTACAGCTCAGGGGAGCAGTTGGCCAAGGGGGAAGGAGAGAAAGGCCATAAGTCAGAAGCAGAAATACATCCAATAAACAGAGTCCAGCGATGGGCAGGTAATACTTGGAAATCCAGACAGGAAGCTGGCTCCATGGAGTCTGTCCTCTAGAGGCTAAGCTCCAATCAGAAACCTCAGGCCTGAGGCAGAGCTCCAATTCCGGGTGGGAGCCTGGCATGGGAAAGGCCTCTTTACTCCTAGGAAAAATCTGGGGCTCAAGGCAGGCTGCCAGGCAGGAACTTGGGAACAGTAGTACCCACAGGGGACCTTAGGCTTGGGAACGGGGCAAGAGCCCAATTAACAGAATCAGGGCACTGCCTCTGGGCAGACTGGCTGGGAGTGTGGCTGGGTGATGAGCTGCAGAGAGCAAGGCTGGGCTGGATTCAGTGCCCTTGCCATGGGCCTGGGATGACCCAAGAACTGGGCTGAGCCCCCTGGGGAAAATCAAGAACATGTTCCTGCTGGGGATGAAGAAAGGGGAAAGGCTGGGGCTCCCTGGGCCTCTGTGTTTGCCTTTCTTCCAAAAGTCCACTTCAGGATTATATATGCCTGGTTACCTCTTTCATCAGCAAGTAAGATGTTCCACAGAAGGGCGGAGACTCTCAAGTGGATCAATCAATGATACTCTGAGAGGGGAGGGTGAAACTGAAATTAATGACAAAAGAAGTTCAGAGCCCTTCTTTGTGTATTGTACATGCCCTAAGCAAACTAGTAATGAGAAATGTCATTTCCTAATGGAAAAAAGAAAGTAATAAAATAGAACTAATGCACCTCCTAGTACTCAGACCCTCTCCCTGTTAGTGTAGCATGAAAGGGGGATCTCTGAGGTTTTCTAGATCTCCCGCAATCCATCAACCCTGCCAAAGCACTTCAGATAAGCCATCTCAATAAAACTCTGCTTGCCATGCAAATGTAACTTTAAAATAAGCCCCCCAGCTTCCAATCTAATCTCTGTCCCTATGGAGGTCATTGGGGGTTGAAACTGTCTTTCCACATCCCTCTTTTGCACACCCCTGTGAAACACACAACTGGACTACCTGTGTCTACCATGGGAATATTACTGTACTTCTCCCTTCTCGGGAAATGGAGTCCAATCTTCTCCTTTCGTCCAGCCTTTCTCTGGCACCAGGATACTTTGCCGCTGGCTGGCTGCATGCTTTGTTGGTTGTTCTGTTTGTTCATATCTCATTGACCCTAGAAGATGTGGCAGAGAATAGCAGTTCCTCACCAGTGCGGTGTGTCAGTCACCCTGGAAGCTCTCCTAGACCCCACATGCATGGGTCCTGACCCAGACCTACCAAATCTGAATCCCTGGGGTGGGAACCAAAAAAAAAAAAAGCAAACAAACTACATTTTTACAAGTATGGGTTATGCTGTACTTATGCTACTTTAAAAATAAAAAGGAAGATAAAAGAATAAAGTAGATCAATTGTCATAGCAAGATGTCCATGATACATTAACTGCAAGTTGTTACAAAACACTATTATTACATGATTAATGGATTGTATTATTAAATGCATTCATCAGGCATTTTTATGAAAATGGAAAATATCCGTGTGTGTAATATAATATACAGGTAGATATTTAAACAAAAGAATTCATGGACTTGGGATTTTATCCACCGTTCCCTGTTCTCCTCTGCCATTCACATCCCAAGCCCTAGGTAAAGTGAAACCAATTTCAGATATAGAATCATACTGGTTATATTATGGCTCTATCATTTGGTAGCCATAAAAAATTTGGCAAGTTGCTAAATTACCCTAAGCTTCAATTTTTTTCACCTTTGAAATGAGATGTAATACCATTACTCCGTTATATGGTACTGTTGTAAGGACAAATAAGATTGTATACATGCCCAGTCTCGTGTTAGACAAATTATAAGAAAGACTTTTTAGGGAAAAATTAGTCTTACAAATTAAACAGTACTTGAGAATTTTTTTCTTTCTAAAAAATTAGAAAATGGAGAAAACCACAATTGAACAGTTTTATATTAATCTTTCTTACTTTAGAACAGGAAAGCTTATACCTGTTTTACCGAAGGGTTGCTTGAAGAGGGTCAGCCCATCAGCACAAGAGCATTCAGGGAAGGACTGGCTAACTCTGAGAGCTCAGTAGCTTGATCTACCTGCCAAAATGAGAGAAAATGAGAGCCAGAAACTCAGGGCCCCAATTCTCCCCTCCTAGACCTAGTATCCGTATATTAAACTACTCCTTCCAATGTTAAGAACTCCACACAGAGGCCAGGCACAGTGGCTCACATCTGTAATTCCAGCACTTTGGGAGGCTGAGGTGGGCGGATCACCTGAAGTCAGGAGTTTGCAGACCAGCCTGACCAATGTGGAGAAACCCAGTCTCTACTAAAAACACAAAAAATTAGCCTGGTGTGGTGGCACATGCATGTAATCCTAGCTACTGGGGAGGCTGAGGCCGGAGAATTGCCTGAACCTAAGAGGCAAAGGTTGTGGTAAGCTAAGATCATGCCATTGCACTCCAGCCTGGCCAACAGGAGCAAGACTCTATCTCAAAAAAAACAAAAAAACAAAAACAAAAACTCCACAGAAACCAAAGTACTCCAAAATAACAATAACTGTTTGCCTAACAGTAAATGATCACCACGCACTGATTTCTTCCTAAGCACTTTGGCCAGGTGAGGTGGCTCATGCCTGTAATCCTGGCTACTCAGAAGGCTGAGCTGGGAGGATCGTTTGAGTTTGGAAGGTCAAGGCTGCAGTGAGCTGTGATTGTGTAATTGCATCACTGCACTCGAGCTTGGGTAATAGAGTGAGATTCTGTCTCAAAAAAAAAGAAGTTTGCTGGCCAGGCACGGTGGCTCATACCTATAATCCCAGCACTTTGGGAGGCTGAGGTGGGTGGCTCACCTGAGGTCAGGGGTTCGAGACCAGCCTGACCAATATGGAGAAACCTCATCTCTACTAAAAATACAAAATTAGCCAGGCATGGTGGCACGTGCCTGTAATCCCAGCTACTCGACAGGCTGAGGCAGGAGAATTCCTTGAACCCAGGAGGTGGCGGTTACAGTAAGCCAAGATTGCGCCATTGTACTCCAGCCTGAGCAACAAGAGCAAAACTCAGTCTCAAAAAAAAAAAAAAGATTTGCTTTATAAACCACAGAATACATGCCTAAAATGTTTTCTTATTTTTAAAGATTATTTATAGACTATTTATTGTTAGGAAAAATATTTTATTTCTTAATTATTTATCATCTGAACAAGGTAGGACATGTTAGCATCAAAGAGCACTGGAAGGAGGCAGATTTACAACCAGCCTCTGGCAATCTCACTGTCTAACTGGGGGCAACCCCTGCTGTTCAAATGATAGAAAATGAGAGCCAGAAAAATTACATTCTAATACTTCTAAGTTAGTATTAGAAGTTGAACAGTACCTGAGAAATTTTTTCTTCCCTAAAAAAATATAAAATGGAGAAAAACACAATTAAACAGTTTTATATTAATTTTTCTTATTCTTAGAATAAGAAAGATCATGCCTGGTTCATGGGGGGACTGCTCGAAGAGTATCAGACTATCCGAACAAGAGCATTCAGAGAAGGCCTGTCTAACCCAGAGACCTTGCCACCCTGGTCTACCTGCCTAGTTGGGCCTTGCTAGAAGCACTTGTGGCTGCCACCTGCAGGCCTCCTTCCAGCCTACATGCCTTGTGGCAAAAGTTGCATGGCATTTGGCAGACTGGAAAATCATGCGAATATTCACGATCTTGCCAAAATCCCTAATCAAGGGTGAACAAGCTGTTAAGAGAAATTCAACTATTCCTATGCATTTGCAGAAAGTTTTGAAGGCGTTTATCTCAAGGAACAGGAGATTTAGGAATTACAGGTTGGTCATCATCAAGTATCTGACTATATATCACCTAAGATGGGGTTGAAACTAATCCAGTGATTTCAGGCTAAGAACTAGGATTAACAGGTGGAAACCACTGCCTCGTAGTTAAGAGTAAGGGCTGCGGTCATCTTGACTGTGGTGATAGTTCCACAAATATACCATGACCTGTTTTATACTTTGTATATGTGCAGTTTATTTTATTTCAACTTCGATAAAGTAGAAAAGAGTATGAGCTATAATGTCAGATAGTTTGGGTTCTAATTATTGCTTAGACACTTACTATCAGTGTGATCTAGAACAAGGATCCCCAACCCCTGAGCCATGGACAGGTATTGCAAGAGGTGAGCGGCAAGTAAGCCAACAAAGCTTTGCCTGTATTTACAGCCACTCCCCATCACTCCCATTACCCGCTGAGCTCCACCACCTGTCAGAGCAGTGGCAGCATTAGATTCTCATAGGAGTGCAAACCCTACTGTGAACTGTGCATGTGAGGAATCGAGACTGCATGCTTCTTGAGACTCTAATGCCTGATGATCTGTCACTGACTCCTATACTCCCAGATAGCACTGTCTAGTTGCAGGTAAACAAGCTCAGGGCCCCCACTGATTCTACATTATGTTGAGTTGTATAATTGTTTCATTATATATTACAATGTAATAATAATAGAAATAAAGTGCACAATAAATGTAATGAGCTTGAATCAACCTGAAACCACCCCCGCCCCACCCCGCACAGTCCATGTAAAATTTGTCTTCCATGAAACTGCTTCCTTGTGCCAAAAGGGTTGAGGACTGCTGATCTAGAATAAATTATTTAACCTCTAACAGATTTCTTGGAGTCAATATGAAGTTAGGTGAGATAATGCATATTCCATGCTTTATCTGACCTAATCAATGTGTGGCAATCATTTATTGTTAGGCAAACAGTTACTGTTATTTTGGGGTACTTTTTCTGTGGAGTTCTTTTTTATTTTTTGAGATGGAGTTTCACTCTTGTTACCCAGGCTGGAGTGCAATGGGGCAATCTCAGCTCACCACAACCTCCACCTCCTGTGTTCAAGCAATTCTCCTGCCTCAGCCTCCCGGGTAATTGGGATTATAGGCATGTGCCACCATGCCCAGATAATTTTGTATTTTTAGTAGAGACGGGGTTTCTCCATGTTGGTCAGGCTGGTCTCGAGCTCCTGACCTCAGGTGATCCACCCACCTTGGCCTCCCAAAGTGCTGGGATGACAGGCATAAGCCATTGTACCCAACCTCTGTGGAGTGCTTAGCATTAGAAGGAGTAGTGTAATATAAGGATACTGGGCCTAGGAGAGCAGAATTGGGGCTCTGAGTTTCTGGATCCTTTGAAAGGGCATCAAGGAGCACTGGAAGAAGAGAGATTCATAACCAACCTCTGGCAACCTCACTGTCTAACTTGGGGCAAACCCGGTTGCTCAATTAAGAGAAAATGAGAGCCAGATAATTTTGGCATTGAAAAGAACTTTTGAGTGTGGCTGGTCTTACTTCCACCCAGTGGTCCCAGTCTGGCCATGAGATATTCCTGCTTTCCTCATCTCCCGGCTCTCAGTTCCCCTGCAGAGAGCTCCTTCCCCCGCCAGCACTCTGTTGGCATCTGACAGCAGGGGTGGGGGGTCGGGGATTGCATACCAAACACTATTAAGTGGTTAAGTATTTAAAAACAGGAGGTGAGAAACACATTCATTTCCTGCTTCTTGCTGTCTCACTATGTGATGTTGAACAAGTCATTCCACGGCTCTGAGCCTCAGTTGACTAATCGGTACAATGGAACTGATATTATTGTCCTATTCTTGTGATGTTGTAAAGTGCTTATTTCTGCTCAGCACAGAGTTAAGTGCTCCATTAACGCCAGGTCATGAGACTATATGAGCATCATGAGAGGCAGTAAGTAAAATTAATAAATATAAAATGGAATGCCCAAGTCCTCAACTCATGATCCTGTCCAGCTGCTGAAAAGAGAAAGCCAAAGGGCTTTCTTCCTCCCCAGATAATTCAGATACATTTTAGACAATGTTCTCCAGGGGTAAAGTACCTGCCTTTGTTCTCCTAATCTACTCTTTTTGCTACTACCCTAAATTCCACTTTTGCTTACTGAATTTTTTGTGGGGGAGGATGGAGTTTGGCTCATTATCCAGGATGGAGTGCAATGGCACAATCTCGGCTCACTACAACCTCCATCTCCCAGGTTCAAGTGATTCTCCTGCCTCAGCCTCCTGAGTAGCTGGGATTACAGGCATGTACCACCATGCCTGGCTAATTTTGTACTTTTAGTAAAGACAGGGTTTCCCCATGTTGGTCAGGCTGGTCTTGAACTCCCAACTTCAGGTGATCTGCCTGCCTCAGCCTCCCAAAGTGCTGGGATTACAGGCAGGAGCCACCAGGCCCAGCCTCACTTATTGAATTTAATACCTCAGTAATTATTCTTAATTTTGTCTCTCCAGGTTTTCCTTTGCTTTGATCTTTTTAGCCCATATGATACAACAGATGGTTTTCAGCTTATACCTTCCCCAGATCTGAACACTTCACGTGTGCAGGCGGCAGCTGGCCTGCCTCCTTACTAAACGTACCAGCGACCTATTGGCCCAATATTCTGCCCTCAATAATCTGTGGCTGCTCCTGGGTATGCAGCCTGGAACCTTCTTTGCTGGGGCCTCTCAATCCATAGAATATGTTAGGCATCATAAGAGCCTGGCACCCCTTTCCCTCTATCCCTAAAACATCACACACATCACAAACACAAACTCACACACACACTATGGGAGCATGAGCCCTGGTCACACATCCATTAGAACCAATGGTAGCAGCTGCCTCACCATTCCTTTCCATTACATCCCTCACCCCTTTCACTTGCTTTTTGGAAGGTCTCTTGCTAATATTTTCAGTCCTTTTAGTTAAGGCGCTATCTCTGACCCCAGATATCACTCAAGAAGCCTAATGTTGTGGTTAACAATATTTTCAATTACTACTAACATATTTGATGGCATACATATGTTAAAAATGAAAAGAAGTGTTCTGGAAGATCATTTGTGAATATTTATCAATGAGAATATATGTGTAATAATGATACCTAGCAGGAATGTTTGCCATGTACCAAACACTATTGCTAACTCATCTTATTTTCCTATCTTCAACTCTATAAAACAGGTACTTTTGTTATTACCACTTTATTCCACTTTTAGAATTCTCTTAAGTGAATCATCCCAGATTTATTCAAATTGTATGTATATAAAAATTTATCACAGCAT